GCAAACATAAAAATTAGCCGATTGCCCTACACTAAACTGTCCTCTTGAAACACATTTGTTTTTAAGAACTAAATCTGGGCAGAAAAATAACATGCAAATATCGTTTGGAAAAATTATTAATTATTTGAAAGGAATAGTAGTTAAAGTAGCAATCGAACAAGAGTTAAAACTTGCATGTTGCTACAGTTCTGCAGCTACACTACAGCATTGTACCAACTACCACCTGTACTTTTCTTAGATATGTTTTATTAACATACTAATTCACAGTATATTAGCTGCCATTGACATGACCCCATTAGATTTAATGAGGGGAATATTCACTCCTTGTGAATCATTCACCTTCCAATGGACGTCATGAACCACATTAATCCTCACACCTGACACATTTTGGAAGCTCTGTGCTTACACGGCTGGTCATCTCACCGTGCTTATTAAAGGCAGAAGCTTAATATTCCTTTCCTTGCAGTTTAAACAAAATTCGACCCAAATGAATTGCATATACTGGGATCACAGTCTACGTGTTCCAGCACAACTCCAACCTGCGCCATCATTTCTGATTTATTACGTACAGCTGGTTTATGTATCATTAACATTTTGCGCTACAGCATTTGAGACCAAATGCATGAAACATTTACGGTAAATTTGCACTTGCCAAAAGCCAAAGCTCCTATTTTGATTCGGAGAACCACTGCTTCAGTTGATCTATACCTGCGATCTGGGTAAGCTAAACTCCAAATGGTGTCTGAAAATAGAGATGTTGACTAAAGCCGGCAGCGGCAGAGCACTTGAGGATGTGGTTTTTCATTTGCGCAGGGCACCAGCGCATCATGGCACCCCGCTGGCGGAGCTGGTCTGCAGGAGGGTCGACCTTCCAAAGAGAGAACTAAGAATTTTGATTTCTCAGTTCGGTGGCACTGAAAGGACACCGAGGGCCTTCCTCCTTCATGTGAGTTTTACAATAGTGTACATGCAATGACTTCAGTGGAACGCTCCCAATTCACACAGGGTAAGTGTAGGGAGAGTTATAGACATACTAAAATAAGGGGTGCATGAATTAATGGTAAAGGACCTGCTCTCACCTCCCTTTTCAACCTCAGCCATGACCTAATGACCTTTAACAGACATTTTCTTAATAAGTTTTGCTCATCTCAAAGCGTCTTCTCTCAACAAGGAATCCACAATGCTTTTCAAACTCGTCTTTGAAAAAAGCAGTAACAGTAGAGAGCAGGAGGTGGATGACAGCTTAAGGAACCGTGGGACGACGTCTGAAGGGGAAGGAGGAAAATGAGCTATCTAGGATCCAGCCACCTTGTGCTTCCCGGTGCTTGGGATAGGTCTAATAAGTAATACCTAACTTTTCTCACCAGACTTGGCACACCTACTGTTCAGCTGAAGCTCCTTTAAAAAAGGATTCATTGTATCACACAAGAGGAAGCCTTAATAAATATACAGTAGGTTATATTAAGGTGACAAATGTTATTTATTGTAAATGTAAACTATTTGGGTATAAAGATAGATCAATCATTTAAAAATAATTGAATGACAAGAGAAACAGTATTTGAACCCTAACTATTGCAGAAGTGTTTTCATCCATTAGAGTGTGGGAGTAAATCTGATTAGAAAGTTCAAATTCATTTTTCCTTACACTAGCTGACAAAAATGCTAAACAATCTTTAAACAACGGACTCTACTGTCTTTTTTTAGCTATACTAGAAATCCAGAGTTTTTGTTTTGGTGAAGTAAGTGGAAACATTTGTTCCTCACAGCAGTATAATTTAAGCCCTTCACTATCCCTTTTCCTGGATTATTTCCAGGAACTTGACATGAGTCAGAAACTGTTGTGGAAATGAAGACTGCTGAGAAATTCACAGTTATGGCTATCTCCATTTATTGGAATTCCACCTGCATGGGCAGAAAAATCAGACTCCGACTTGCCCTAAATGCTGAAGTCAAGGAAATGTGCGTAGAGAATTTCAGGCTCTATTTTTGATTTACAAACCTAAGAGACACACCACTAACAGCGTATCGTCAACCTTCCATCTCTTGGTGTTTATCTGCTCTGTCCCCGTTCTTGAAATTTAGACACATTTTGATGATTACTCAGACTGAGGCTTTAAAAAAAAAAAA